CCGTCCCACAGCCTGAAGTGGCAAACCTGTGCATCTTCAGACAGAGGAAAGGCCTACAACTCCCAGCATGCTCCAGCCAGGGAACACAGCCCCAACGTACAGAGCACTGCCCCCCAGCTCTTGCCAGCCTCCCCTTTCCCCGGGTCAATGAATGATAAAGATAGATGTTGAGCATTTCAAAAGGGCCCCATTAATCAGTCAGCAGGCACTTTTTAAAAAAACAAGCAAGCATCTAAAAACTGCCCATGGCCTGCAGGGTGGGAACGAGGCGTTGCTACTGCCCTTCCGAGGTGGCGTTTGCTGTGGCCGGGGTCAGCAGCCAGCTGGCTGGGAGGCAGGGCAGGCGAAAGCAGGCGCTGGTGGCCAGCGGGTCGTCTTTCCCACTCAAATGGGCTCAACTGGGTTGGACGGGCAGCAGAAGCAAACTCTGTTCTTGTTATCGTGGCAATGCCATGGTTCGCATGAGCGCATAACGTGCAAGCAGGCAGGCGATTTCTGCAGCAAAAGAAAAACCAGGGTCTGCAAGTCTCGTTGTTCAAACATGCTGCAAGTGCTGGTGAAGTTGGAAAGTACAAAATGGAAGCTGAGCGAGGCCAGGACTGCACGACTGAAGTGATGCAACGAGCCGGTGGACGTGAGCCTAAGTCCAGATCCTAAAACAAAGGCAGACAACTTGAAGGGGTCTGGAGCGTTTCCATGGGCCACATGCCTGCTGCAATCACACCACTGAACAGCAGTGGGGAAGGGGAGAGGGGAATTGGTTGCCTCCGACCTTCAGCAGCAACGCCTGCCCAGACTTCAAAGGACACCTGCAGCTTCTCTCCAAGCAGCCCTTCCTGCTTGAAGGCCTGGTAGCAGCTGAGCAATGGGGGGGGGGGGCAGGCAGGCAGTGGGGGCACATGCAGTCTCTGTGCTCCCCACAGGTCACACATCTCAAAACTTCTCCAGGCTGTGGAAGGCTGATGTGGGATGTATAGACTTCCCTGTCACCAGATGATGATGGCTAGATGAACTTATGGAAGATAATATTATCAATGGCTACTGCAAGCCGTCATGATAGCCCAGTTGAATAATAAGAATATTTACCACCCATGTTAACAATATTAGTTATTAATATCAGTAATATTAAACGCTGTTATTATTTAAGTCCCACGAGAACAAGGATTTCTGTGGTGGGAGGCAAGCTCAGGTTCCTTCATTGCAAGGGCTGCAGCCAATGTTTCATTTCCCTTGGCGGACCTGGAGGTCAGAGAGCAGAAAATGGGCCTGCACAATCCGTGCGGAGGCAGACCCACATGCTGCCCCACTAGGGCCGGGCAGGGAGTCCAGAGGCACGGCAGCTACAGCACCCTCCCGCCCGTGTCCCCAGCACCCGGCGTACAATCCCTCCTGTCTCTGATCCTGGGGGTAGCTGGGAGCCATCGGACTAGTAGCCACGCATGAATCTGCCCTCCTGAGGCTCCGCTTCCACCGGAGAACCACGTGCCTTGGGACAAAGGCCCTCCTCGCCTCTCCTGCCCCATCCACCCTTCGGCCCCAGTGGATCGACCCTTCTGGGTGCGAGGAAAAAGGAAGGCAAAGCTCCCCTGCTCACTTCCTCCTCAGCAGGCGCGGCGACGCGGGGCGCTCCGGGAAACTGCCCGCGCCTCCCGGGGGGGCCTTGTGTCCGCACCTGCCCTTACCGACCCGCCGAGGCCGCCTTTCCAGCGACCGGCGCTTGCAAAAGGCGGCCTTGTTCTGGCAATGGGCCTCGCTGCGCCGCCACAACGCCAGGACGGGGTGAGCAGCCCTGCGAGGGCGGCGGGCCTGCTGCGCAACTTGCAGGGAGCCCGGCGGGCCCCCCAAAGCCCTGCCGGAACGGCCCCGCGGCGCCCGGGCTTTTCCCCGCCCCGAACGGAGCGCCCGGCGGGCGCGGCGCCTCTTTGCGGAGCGCGCGGGCGCCACCTGCAGGCGGAAGACGCACCGCTCGGCCAGCGGTTCTGGGGCTCCGGCCCGAAAAGCCCGCGCTGCCCGCAGGCGCGCCCGCCTTTCGTTGCCCTCTGGTCCAGCGGATATTTGGCACTCGGCACGGCCAGGTGGCCGGCGGAAGTTCGAGCCGCCCACGTCTGCCAGGATCTTCGTGGGGAGCTTCTTCAACCGAGAGGCTCCAGCCGTGCTGGATTACAACTCCCATCAGTCCGACACGGCCACTGGCCAAGCTGGCTGGGAGAAGGGGGCTGGAGAAGGCCGCTCTGGCCACTGGCCCCTCCAGCCCAGATCCTGGCTTGCAGCTCGCCGGCAGCCTGGCCACCGGCTGCCTCCTTGGTGTAGCCCCCTCCTCGCCCCCTGCTCTCGCGCTGCAGCTGCCTGGCCAGAGCGAGTGGGCAAGCCACTGCAGGGGAGGAGCAACTCTGGGGGCCCCGCTAGGCTGGGGGCCTCCGCAAGCCCGCCCGCAACACTGCCCTTGCTGAGATACGCTGCATCGCAGCATGGAGGCTCACATTAGCTACCAGGGCCGGTAACTCTCGGTTGCCTTCTGCTCCCTTAATTGGCCTCAGCCCTCTCAAAAAGACAGCTGAGCATGTGCTCTTGGCCACATCCTGTGGTAGCAACGCCCAGGTTGTTGCTGTACAGCCCCCATCATCCTCAAGCCAGCGGGCCAGTCATCCGGGACTATGGGAACTGTTGTGCACAACCCTCTGAGGGGGCTGGGTCGCCCACCGGATTCTCATGTTATGACAGCCATTTCCAAGGCATGGTCTTTTCTACCATGGGAAGCTAGCTGGCCATTTGCTTCAGAACTGACTGGCTGGCTAAAGCAGCTGGTGTCTGAACATGTCCAGAGAGCCTTCCCCTCAACGATGAGGTAACGCATGGATCCATTGCGCCTCACATGGTTGCTGGAGCAGTTTCAAACTCGATGCCTCATCTTGCAAATTGAGCTTTGCAGCAAAGGGAGTTTCAGGGTCGTGCCTTATCCGATCAGGCCCACCAGCGGCTTGGGATGCAGTCATGCACAGAAAAGTCGTCTTTCCCCACCCCAAAGTTTTTATTTCTCGTATGCATACAGGTTCGGGGATGCACCAGGCACTTTTACAGGCAAAAACTGGAGACCGAGCGTCGCCGTGTCTCCGCTAGCATACAACTGCAACCGGACTGGTGGTGGGCTGCAGCTGTGGCGAAGGAAAGTGGGGAGAGCGGTGTCCATTCCAGCCGATGAGCACCAAGGCCCCCCCCCCCCCACGCCTGCCCTCGTGCAGTCCCTTTCCTGCTGCCCACGGGCATCGCGTCGCCAGGCTCCAGCGGAGCGGGCCCAGCGGCCCTCAAGCTCGCCAGCATCCCCTGCAAGGAGACCGGGAATGGCGGCCAAGGTCCTGGGGAAGCTGGTCTGTGTCGCTGCCCATCCGCCCACACGGTGCAGCCACAGCCCGTGACCCACAGCAGAAAGGAAGGTGAGCACCGACGGAGCACGCTAGGCGGGCGAGTGCTGGACGCACCCCTAGCCTCCAGCAATGCGCCTGGACGCATGGCAGCCCCCAGGGCCAGTAGGGACGGCTCCCCCCACCATCTCAGGGGCCACAGAAGAGAGCAGGCCCTTTCCAGCTCTTCTTTGCCCCCAGAGGGAAGGGCCTGAGAGTTTCCAGGGCTCCAGAGGGGACATCCCAGATGGCCTTTCCCTGCCAAGGCAGACTTGTGCCCCCCTCCGGACAGAGAGATCTGCTCTCCTCCATCCCAGGTGCCTTCCCGGAGCCAGAGGGCTGCAGGATCTTTGATGGTGTTCACCGGAATCTGCAAGCACCTCTGGGAACTTCTGAGGAGCACAAGCCGGATCTCACCAGGGAGCCAAACAGCTGCCTGCTTGAGCCACCAGAGGGTCCCGCTAACCCAGGAACAAGGCCTTCCCCAGTGTCAGCCACCTCGGCTCCCGCCCTGGCTGGGCTTGCCAGGAGCTGAACCGCGGCCTTTGCTGGGCATGGCGTGTCCCGCCAGAGACTGATGGCGTCTCTTCTTCATGCAAAGCAGCCTTCACTGTGAGCAACGGAGCTGTGCTGGCGGTTCTGGTGGGCTCTCCGGGGCAGGTCTGCACCGGGGGCCTTCTGCACGCAAAGCCGAGGCAGACGTCCGGGGCAGGACAGCACTCGGCCACCTCCCCCGGCTTCCATGCTCAAACAGTGCAGCCCGCCACGCGTCCGTTTACCCACGGGCTGCCGCATCATGCCCATGGGTGCCGGACTGCCGGCCACACACGCAGATGGCATGGGTTGCTGGGGTCAATCAACCCTCACGTGACCCCAGAGCAAGCCATCATGAGGCATTAGAGGGCGGTCTTGCCCTCCATCAAGGGCTCAGCCACGCAAGCTGAGCACCACTCAGAATGGCCCCTGGGGGCCTGGCACAGTCCCCTGGGAGGGGGGCAGTTACGCCATGGCGGGCTGTCAGGATGTGCAAACCAGGGCACCTTCTCCAAAGCTTTGGCCAAACAGCCCCTCTCCCCCATGCTGCTCATTCCCTGGGCAACCCACCCCTCACTTTCTAAAGAAACGTAAAATTCTACATTTGGAAAACAAAAAACTCTAAGAAACTGTCACCTCACATTTCTTCCAGCTGTACGAGGCGCTCCCATCTGTTCCTACTGGGTGCTGTCATTCCCCCAAAATCTGAATCTCCAGTGTGTACAGCTATGATGTATTTTATTAATTTATTATATTTATATGCTGCCTTTTCCCCTTCAAGGAACTCAAGGCAACTCCATATTTGCCTCCTCATCCTCACAACATCCCTGTGAGGGAGGTTGGGCTGAGAATCCGTGCCAGGCCTGAAGTCACCCGGTGAGCTCCATGGCCGAGCGGGGACTAGAACCCGGATCCCCTGCGCTCTTAGCCGCTACACCACGCTAGCTCTGCTAGGATTCAAGATCAAGACAACACTGGCCAAAGTACATTGCTGATAGACTTCTATTTCTCTTTCCACGTGCTACCTAAGTTTTTGGAGGAGGAGGAGGAAAGAAGCAGAAATAATAATAATGGATTTTCTACTCTTTAACTCCATATTCCCATGCAGAGGGGGGAATTCACACAATAGTCAAGTATAAAACCAGGAAAGGTGAATTAATCAGTTTAGAATAGAGTTTGCCTTGCCATAAGACAAAATAAGGAGTCAGTACAGCGAGGGGAAATTCACTGGGAAAATTCCCCTTTGCAGACCACAATTAAATGACCAAAACCTACACAAGATGTCCGGGGCTTGCATCTTGCTGCAGCTGTGCTCGCCCCGGGACAAGGAACCCCCCTTTCAAAGTCTGCAAGGTAGCAGGAAATGTCCTCGCTCAGGCGCTGCTTGTGCCGATCAGGCCACTCCGTGCTCGAGCAGAGAATAAATCTAAGCAATGCAGTACTGGTATAAATGCAAACTCGCCCTGCCCGGGAAGGAGAAGGGTTCTGCTCACAAAGTTCTACTTTAAACAACAAGTACATATACACAGAGCGACACGAGGCGGAGCTGCCAACTCTCACGGGGGCATGGCTCCTGTGCTTTGAGCAGCTGCAGAGTGGATTTTGCTCAGCCAGAGGGAAGCGGCCACTGCTGCCTTCCAGCTTGCCTTGCAGCTTTTGAAGACAACAGAGCCAGGCTAGTGCTCCGCCGTCCTCCATGGCACCCAGCTCCTCCCCTTCCCCCAGCCTCTCGTGGTAAAAAATTGCATACTTTCATGACAGTTCATCTAAACACAGGTAAACATTAAAATAATTCATTTCTGTAAGAAAATAGCAGCCACACGGCCCTGGGTGGATTTCACAGAAATTCACAATGAAGACAGGACAGCATTGACCATGAGCAAACCGATGGCACTGGGATTCTGTCTCGGGATCCGTGCGCCGGAAAAAACTGGGCCATACGAGGAACGTGCTGGGATTTCCCGTTGTTCCCAGTGCGTTTGGCAGGTGCTTTCTTCTGCGCATGGCCCATGGGAACACACAAGGCCTCCCCCTCCTTCCAGGTGGCCATGCCAGGAGATGTCCCGGGCAGCTGAGACCCATTTTGACAAGCTGGGCTGCCAACCGGGTTGGCCACGTCCAGAGCCAACCTGCCCTGCCGCGACTCCCAGTCAGGCCTTCTCTGTGCCAGTCTTCGAAGGGGACTTGGGTGATGCCGGGAGCAACAGAAAAGACACCTGACTAAGCCGGCTGACATCCAGCTACCAGGAAAGGCTGGCTGAGCCTCAGCGACCTGCGGCGCTTCCGAGGCGAGCAGGCCCAAACCGAGGGCCCCTTCCATGCTGCGAGCAGGACAGCAGAGCCCTCTCTGAAGGTGTGACGTGCCCTTCTCTGCCAGGCTGTCTGGGCAGCACTCAGGACCGCCCGAGCGACAAGGCTTGGATGAGCTCGGAGGGCTCTGAGCACTGCCGGTGAGAGGACACGGTGCAGCCACGCAGGAGCGGGGGGAGCCTCCCCCTCCTGGGGGGTTCTCTGCAGCGAGGAAAGCGGTGGCAGAAGTGCAGGGGACACGTGGGGGCGTTGCACATGGAAGGAGACGGCGACCGAGCCTAGCCCCCAGGAGAGTCCGGCGAGTGCAGCAGGGCCCTCGAAGCGTCCTCTGGGAGCAGCCAGGTCCAGCAACCCGTTCCAGGCTACCTGGGGGCTCTGCACCCCAGGCATGCATAAACGGGCCGCGCCAGAAGGGAGAAAGCTCCAGCAAAGCTGGGAGGCCCCCCTGATGATGAGGGAGACCACCGCAGGGCTCCTGCGGACACCGGACAGAGCCCAGGCGCCGAGAACATGGCTTGGGGTGGGCACAAGAAAGCCAGGGCGCAGGGGTCCGAATACCCTCTCTCGTCTGGTCTTGAATCCAGGAGGTCCCACCTCCACTGGGCAGAAACGGGGCGACGCTGCTCCAGCCCTGGCTCGCCAAGACGCAGGGACAGCACGGTGCTTCTCCAGGAAGGACAGGCGGCTTTTCCAGATGGGCAACGGCTAGCCCAGCAGTTGGTCCCAGAAGCAGGACAGGATGGCGAGGACTGTCCCCCGTCTGTCTCTGGCAACTGGCAGGCTCCCTCTGGACAAAGGAAGTGCCGGCGGCTTCCCCCGGGTTCTCTGCTCCGGGGGCGTGGGGGAGCCCGGCATGATGGGAGCTGCAGTTCAACTCTGCAGCCAGTGGGGGTCAGGGTGCCAAGCTGGGGTGTGTGATGCCTGCCACCTGGCGATCCGCCCGCAAAGCTGTGGTGCTCTGCCAGGGAGCCCACACCGCCGTCTCGGAGGCTTCCTATTTCTCTGCCCTCCCGAGGCATGGACCCCGGATCACAACTGGGGCACCCAGGCCTCCGCGGTGCCGGCCGGGTCGCTCTCCTGCTTCGGCTCTTGGAGGTTGAGCAGGAGCAGGGCCCCCACGGAGACGGTCTTCAGGCTCAGCATGCCGAGGGGGGCCGGCTGGGGGGCGGCCTGCAAGCAGGGGGGCCACTCTGGGGCGCTCTCCACGGGCTCCTTCTTCAGGGCGTGTGCCCGCTGGTGCTTGATGAGGTTGGCGCTCTGGCCAAAGGTCCGGTCGCAGTGGGGGCACTTGAAGGGCCCCTCGCCCATGTGGACGCGCCGGTGCCGGATCAGCGTGGAGCCTCGGCGGAAGGTCTTCTCGCAGTGGGGGCACTGGTACGGCTTCTCGCCGTCGTGCAGCCGCTGGTGGCGCATGTACTCCTGCCGGCAGGTGAAGGTGGAGTCGCAGGAGGCGCAAGGGTAGGGCTGCTCGCCGGTGTGGATCCTCTGGTGCCACGTGTACTCCTGCTTGTACCGGAAGCTCTTGTCGCAGCCGGGGCACTTGTAGCTCTTCTCCCCTGCGTGGCTGCGCTGGTGCCACGTGTACTCCTGCTTGAAGCGGAAGCTCTTCTCGCACTCGCCGCACTTGTAGGGCCGGTCCCCCACGTGGGCCCGCTGGTGCCACATGAACTCCTGCTTGAAGCGGAAGCTTTTGCTGCACTCGGCGCATTTGTAGGGCCGCTCCACGGAGTGGGTTTTCAGGTGCCACGTCAGCTCCTGCTTGAAGCGGAAGCTCTTCTCGCACGCGCCGCACTTGTGGGGCCACTCCGCCGTGTGGGTGCGCTGGTGCCACATGAGCTCCTGCTTGTGCCGGAAGACCTTCTCGCACGCGCCGCACTTGTAGTTCTTCTCCCCGGAGTGCACCTTCTGGTGCCAGGTGTACTCGTGCACGTACCGAAAGCTCTTCTCGCACTTCCCGCACCGGAAGGGCCGCTCCTCGCGGGGGACCCTCTGGCGGAAGCGGAGCGACAAGCAGGCGGTGCAGGCACAGGGCTGTGCCCCGGTGTGGCTCTGCGGGGGCGCCACGGCCGGGCTTCGGCGCCTGCACCCGGGGCACACCTGGGTCACCTCCCCTGTGGGCGCCACAGCAGGGGCGCTGCGAGCCGACGGGGCGGGGAAGCACTTCTGGCACTGGGTGCAGATCAGCAGCATCTCCTCGTGGCTGTCAGGCGGAGGGGCGGAGACCCCGGCGGGCCAGAAGCTGCCTCCAGAGGCGCAGGGGTGCCCCACCTGGAAGGCGACGGGCGCCCCCTCCTGGCCTGCCACTTGGCCACTGGAACTTGGCCACTGGAACTCCGTGGGCCAGGGAGGTGTGGCGGCGGCGCCCGGTGGCCAGGTGGGCAACACAGAGGCAGCACTGTTGTCCAGGGCCCCCTTCGATGCTTCCAGGTGTGCCACGTGGCCTGGCAGCCCCTCGAGGTGCTCGTCGGGGTGGGACTCCTTCTTAACCAGGATCTGACCATCTGCTGGGACAAAAAAGCACGTCAAACACGAGCAAGGGAGGACCAGCGAAATGCCAACGGCCCACCAAATCTTGGAGCAGCAGCTGGGAAAGCGGCTGGCTCTCTCTGCATCGGGTTGCCAGTTTAGCTAATGGACGACTTGGGCTAATGTACGTATCTAAGAGGCGACTGCTGAGTTTCTGTCAATGCTGCTGTGAAATGAGCCTCTTCCTTTCTGCTGCTTCCTTGGATGGTGTAAGGAAGAGCACCCCCTCCCATCACACTCCATGGAGCAGCTCCACTCTCCGTATTGCTAGCCTGGCTGGGAAAGACTGCGGCTCAGCGGCGAAACACACGCTCTGCACAGGAAAGGTCTCCGATGACAATCCCGGCAACTCCAGGGAGGCCTAGAAGAAGAGCCTCCTTGGAGATCCTGGAGGGAGAACGCTGCCTCCCCATCCGCCTTGCAGAAAGAGCCTCGAGCGGTTGTCGCACGGGGCCCCAAACTTTTTCTGCTGCAACAGCAGCTCCAAAGCCTAGTCAACCTTCTGTCCAGCATTTCAGCGTTCTGTCTCCCTCCTCCTCCTCCTCCTCGCACAGAATCATGGAACAGTAGAGCTGGAAGGGGCCATGAAGGCCGGCAGGTCCAGCCCCTGCTCAGTGCAGGGCTCCCAGCGAGACCACCCTGCTCAGATGGTGTCCAGCTGCATCTTGGGTGCCTCCAGGGCGGGAGAGCCCACAACCCTCCTGGGGCATCGGCTCCTCAATCTGGTCCAACAGTTACACCTGATTAACTATTTGGCTGTTAACCAAGGATTCATTAAGTAAGCATTTTTACATATTGCAAAGAAGGTAGCTTTAAAAGCATCTACTGGGAGTCTTTGGTTTCTTTTAAGCAACACTGGGGGAACATAATATTATTAATAATATAAAATAACAGGACCCAAAAATAGGAAGACAGCTCAGGCCAGGGACTGTCCCTCTTTGTGGTAGCCACATTTTCTTTTCTTCTACAGATTCCAAGATGACATCCATCCACCCCAAACGCTGCAACATGCCAGGTTCGTGGCCGATGGTCTAGTTAGTGGCCAGCAACCGCACCCCCCCCCCCCCCGCATCTGTGCTCCCCCGGGGGGTTGGCCGGCTGGGGGAAGCTGGAGGTTTCTTGCCCAGGGGGTTTGCAGCTGGAGCTCAAATGGGCCACCGGGGCTCACTCTGAGGGTGGCCTCAGATACATGCCAGGCAAAGGAGAGAGGCTTTGTCCGAGAGCCGCCTCCGTCTGTTCCCCCCCACTGGGGGGGGGGCACAGATCAGAGGAAGCCCCCTCGCTTCCCCTTCCAGCCAGCAATGCTGCAGCAGCACCCCGGGTCTCCCCCACATCCCTTCAGGCAGCCCCCTTAAAGGCACCTCCAGGGGGATCGGAACCTGCCGACTCGCCGCTTTCAGACTTACCCGAGCAGCCATGTCGGCAACCTGCTCTCGCCTTCGGGAAAGGGGGCTCGCCAGCGCGGCACGGCTCCTCCCCGTGCTCGATCCGCGCAATTACGCTGGGCTTCTGGGCCTCCAGGTCGGGGACTAAAAGCAGGAAACAACAGTGCAGGCTGAGTCTGTCCCCCTCCCCCCCCCCCCCCCCACGTGAGGGGAAGCACGGAGAGGGCAGCCCTCCCCCTCCGCGGGCCTCTCCTCTTGCTGAAACCACCCACGGCCCACGCTGTGCTGCGAAGGTCCTTGGCAAGGCTCCCCCTTGGCCCCCTCCCTCAGCACCCACCCCCTCCCTGCCAGCGTCACCAGCAGCGCCTGCCCTTGTCCGCCTGCCCCCCGGTTCCTGCTGCCTGGCCCGACGGGCAGGAAAAGGCAGCACCCTCTTCGCTTCACCTCTGCCGGCGCCCAGACCAAGCAAGAGGCTGGCAAATGCAGTCACTGCAACAGCAAAGAGGAGAGGCAGCTACTGGGGGTCTGGACAGCGGCCCCTGCTGGGCACGGGCCCCTGGCAGGAGCCCCATCACACCTACCTGGTGCCATTCCTGACCACCCCCCAAAGAGGCACCCTTTCCTGCAAGCTCTCCAACACCCCAACGCCTTTCTCACAGAAGGCGAAAGGGGGGACTGGGGTGGATGGGAAGACCGGTGCAGCCCTTCCCTCCCCAGCCGCCATCTTAGGCCACGGCAGATGCCGCCCCCGGGGGGGCCCATGGGAGGCATCTGCGCTTGCGGGTTGGGGGCCAAAACATGGCTTTGCTCCCTTGTCTCCTGAACAGGAAGGCATGAAGCGGCCTGCCCGGGAATTCCTCGACCCAGACCGGAACGGCCTGGCGCTCTGTGAGCACTGCATGTCCTTCTTGCTGGAAGCCTCTTGGCTGGACTATGATTACCGCTGACGATACTTCAGAAGAAGAACAGGCTCTTAATAACAAGTGAGTAAAAACGGACGCTGGCCTTTCTGAGCGCTCCGAACTGAGCGGGGCCACACGCCCTCGCCCTGCGGACTGGCAAGCGGCTACCTAGCGAAACGAGCATCTCATAGTTGCCTCTCATCACATCCTTGTAGAGCTCTTTCTGCCAGTCCGACAGCCACTCCCACTCCTCCGGGGAAAAGTAGACGGCCACTTCCTCAAAAGTCACCAGATCCTGAAAGAGGAGCACAGTCAGAGCAGTTCGGAGCCTCCCGGGTTGCAGCGCCCATTTTCTGAAGCAAACTGAAATCGAGGCATGGAGCTTAATCTGGCTTTGAAATCGTTTGGCTCTTACTTTGCATAATGTATATTGTCATTTTTATCATGCTGCTTTCATCAGTCATGAAAAGGGTGAAATTGTATGCAAGGCAATATGCATTTATTCCATTTCCCATCTCTGGCTTCTGAGATTTCAGTAAGAACTGTCTACATACTTGCAATAAAGACTAGAAGCTTGACTATTTTTCCTTTAAGCAAAAGCTGCCGTTTCTGTACAACAAACTAATTTGTGCATTACCAGACGCTGCCTATTTCCTGCAAAGCTGTCAGATGCACCCCTTTAATCTGGCATAAAGTGTTCCACGCGAAGCCTTGCTAATATAGGATGGGGAGCAGTGCGGTGTGATAGCTAAGCCTAAAGCAACATCAAAACCAAGATCAGTTGAGACAAAGCACTGCTTTTGTCTCCCTTTCCAGAGGAATAACGCTGCGCTGGCTGACGTACGGAGATGCGATGCAGCAGGTCACAGCGGAGGGGGGAGCTTCCGTTCCGTGCCTCTACAAACCCTTAAAGGGGAGGGCCAGGTAGGAAAAGCCCATCCTGCCCAGGAGCGCCCTGAATTTGCCAAGGAATGGGCACCCTGCGCCTAGAATGAGGAGTGGTGCGATTGATCTGGCGCACCTGACACCTGTCTCCGCTCTCGCAGCAAGAGGAAGGCTGAGAGCTCCTCGTTTCCACAGGACAGGACTTGGCTGGTGGGGGAACATCAGCTGCTCTCTGGCCATTTCTCGGCTGCTGTTTCTGAGCTCTCCGATCCAGGCAGAGCCAATTCACCCAAATTGCCCCACATACCTTGGAATGACTGCCCGGGCGAGTACAGCGCCCATTTCCTGGGCATTTCCCAGACGGCAGATCCCTTCTGTGGACTCCGTGGGAGAATTCCAGGCAGAAATACAGAGGTTCATGCACAGAGGCACTGGGTGAGCAACAGGGCTGCTTGATATTTTAATGAGGAGCAAGGAAGGGCTGACGGTTTCCTTCAGTAGGAAATGCCCTAACTTGAGTGTAAGCTTGTATCTCAGGGCTGAGGACTGGGAGACAGATTCGGGGGCATAGAGCCAACGGATTGCGGCTGGTATCCAGCATAGCCCCGAGGAAGACTGGACCCCCAGCACTAACCCACAGGGCCCAATCCACCTGGAGCTTCTGCATGGGTGCCGCCGGAATGAAAAGCAGCGGCCGTTCACAACATGGTCGCTTACACACTGCCAAAGGAGGGCGGAAGAGGAAAAGGGGTTCTCTAAAATGCTCATGTGCTAATCTATACAGGGAATGCAAGTTCAGGAAGATCTCCCGTAAGGTAAACAGACATGCAAGGCGCCCCACTCTCCTGGGGAAGCCACCGCAGCCAGTGGCAAAGGGATCCGGGCGGTGTGGCGGCAGCAGTGGGCAGCCAGGGCCCGGGAGACCCAGGTTCTAGTCCCCATTCAACTGTAAAGCTCACTTGAAGGACTTTGGCTCGAAGCCTCACCTACCTCACAGGGTTGTTGTGAGGATAAAATGAAGAAGGAGAGAGGAATGGCCAGGTAAGTTGCTCTGGGTTTCTCAAAAGAGGAAAAGCAGTGGGATGCAAATGTAATAATAACATAAAAATAATACACTACCATAGGAGTCGAAGGCCAAAACATCTGGAGGGCGACCAACCGCCCAGGCCTTCAAACGGAGGAATATTCTCAGACAGCCCTCCAGATAGAGGACTGCCTTTGTAGAAGAGGACACACAGCCAGCCCAGTTTCATTTCAGAGGCACATGCAAAAGAAAGTCCCACTGAACCACATCCCTTGGAAATTGGAGGGCAAGATGGGAGTGGGGATTTCTTCCACATCCACCTGGGCTGAGCTCCTGTTCAAATTAAGCTGCTCTGTTTGCACTTTGGATTGCAAGCTGCTTGGATTGCGATCCATCCATCTGGCTCCTGGCACAGGCCGTGCGCATTGGCGGGGCTGCAGAAATGGCTGAATCATAATTTTAAAAAACAACAGCAACAGAATGGCTTACAGAACAGCCCGCTCGGCACAAGGGCCCTCTTACCTGGAGAGCAGGTCTGGTGGCTGCAGCCATCTCTCGGCCAGGGACTTCCACGGGCAGGACCACTGGAGGCTAGCCAACGGCCGCGCAGGATTCGGGTTCGGGATGTCGGGGTCGTGGCTGCTGACAGGCAGTCCTTTCAGGGCGGAGGCAAGCACAAAGAGGATGCAGCTCTGCTCTCTCGCCTGCCAGGGAGGAAGAAGCAGGAAAATTGGGTGGGGGCAGAAAAGACTAAAGCTAAAGCTTTAAAAATCAGGCAGGGCAACCAATTCCAAGTTTCCAAACCAAAAAGAGTTGGCGGCTTTGAATAAATTTGCACGAAGCACATGTAAATAACTCCTTTGCTTCCAGGAGGGGGAAAACGAATTTGCAAAAGGGGAATTTGCATAAAGGCTCACCCAGCCTTCCCCAACTGGGAGCCCTCCAGAGGTCCTTTCAATCCTATGAGGAGAGGTGCAGTCCCAAGGATGGGGCGAATTCCCCTGTTTTCTTGCATTAAAATGCCTCCCTGTAACACGGAGGAAGGGTGAAGGGAAGACCATTTCCTCAGCACGGGGGTCCGCGGCAAGGAGGAGTCGTTCCCAGGGGCTGCCCTCAGGACAGGCAGCTTGCTCTGAGCCAAGGATCTGCTTGAGTTCACACAAAGGCCATGACCTTTGTTTGCTGGTGGAGTGGCTGGTGGCACGTGGAGCAGGTCACGGCTGCAGCCAAGTTCGGAGCTCCGGAGCCCAAGGGGAGAGGCCCACATGCAGGGAGCTCTACTCACATCCACAAACCAGCGCGAACACGTCTCATGCACACCAGGAGCGCCTGGGAAGCCCGTTCCAGACAAGCCACACCCCAATGCTTGACACTGCCGGAAGCAACAATCTATGGTAGGCAGGAAACTTGCGCTCCCCCAGGCGCTGCAGGGACCACAGCACCCCATGCATCTGCTGGGCTCCTTTCCAAGACGGCACTTTTCAGTGGGGTCCATCCGACACCACGTTCCTGGGCTGGGGTTCCAGCACCGAGCGATTTCATTTTCCCACAGTGCCCAGCCACGATGCCAGGCTCAAGACTTTCCGGGAAAGCAAAATGGCACCTCCAAGCCACTCAGCCCGGAGCTGCTCCCTCGATCCCACTGATGAAGCAAGTGCCTGCTGCCGCCAAACACGAGGGAGCAGAGGCGTCACTGGGCCAGACCCAGCAGCAGTGGCGCCGTGCAGAGGCCTTCCAAGAAGCACGCTTCAGCCCTCTCCTGACATGCTGCACCGAGCCATGGCCGCTGTCCTGCACCATGCTCTCCGGGCAACTTCAGGGTGTGCCGTGGGTTGCCATATTCCAGCTGCACAAATCCAGGCAGTCTTTTTGGTCGCTGTTGCATTATTAGCAGCGGTGTTAATTATGCAAACCATGTAGGAGTGGAGGAAAAGGTTTAAGCAATTCCCTCCCCCAACTGCTCTCCCATTCCAAAATCTCTTCTTTTGAAGTTGCATTTTAAAGGAAGGAAGACTTAGATACCTGTAACCAGGTATTTGAGTCCTCAAGGACAAAAATCCTGAGGCTGCTTGCAAAGCTACAGGTGCTTTCCGGAAGGCCAGCCCTGTTGAACAAGCACCTCACCTGAGGGCACAAGAACCCTTCAGAAGCCGCCCTCTCCCGACTCACTTCATCCCACAGTTGGGCACTCCATGGATGTGTGTGAGTCTCATCAGGTTAAGGTGGCATTTTTACCTGCAAGACAGATGCGGGGGGGGGGGGGGGATTCAGCACAAATCTATGCAGGTCTTACCAAGTCCCACTGACTTCAATAGGACTTACTCCTAGGAAAGTACGCCTAAACTGCAGCCTCCGTTAACCTGTTCATGCACAGATCATTACATCAGGGGTGCAGAATCTCTTTCAATTTCAGAGACGTTCTGGGGACACTTTCTGGTGGTGGGTGGAGACAAAGATGAGGGGGCGGGACCAGAGGCAAAGGGGCGGGACCAGAATACTAGAATATTTTCTGCTGAAAGTTCTTACTGCCACTAACTCATCCTTCAACTGCTTGAAATGGAGGAAAATATGCACAAAAGCTGTGATACCCCTGAATAGTGTTTGCGGGGAGGGGCTGGGCTGCAACAGAGGGGCAGGGCCATCTGGAATACCCTGGAGGGTGGGTTAGTGGGGGGGGGCAGGATATTTGGCTTGCAGGCACCAGGCTTTGCAGCCCGGTCTTACCTGCTTGGATACTAGTGACAAGAGGACCTTTCCCTCCCGGCTCCCAGTCTTCAGCCTGTCGATTCCCTGGGACTGGGAACTGAGCCCACAGCTTCTTGCCCCGTTTCACCCGCCGGAGGTGTGGGGCCGCACTGCACTGGGATGGCTGGTGTTCTCACAGAGACCCCGTCAGCACGACGGCAGAAACGGCCCGAGCTGCATCCAGTCCCGCCCATTCAGCCAACGACCTGCTGCCCGCGGGACATGAGCACAACGCAGCCTCCTGCCCATGTTCCCCAGCAACTGGGGCCCCCAGGCCCCCTGCCCCTAATCCTGGAGGGAGCACAGGGCCCTCGGGGCCAGTAGGGGCCTGCTCCTCCGGGCACTGGCCTGATCCCCTTTCGAAGCCACGCAGGTGCTGCCGCCACAACACCACGCGGTGTGAGGAAGGACCCTTGGGCTGGTCCCGGAGCCGCACCAGCTCCCTGGGAAGACCCGGTTCTGGCCCCGAGGAGAGGGAGAAAGGGCCTCCTCCCCGCCGCTCTCCACCCCACCAGAAGCATGGCACGGCCTTCTGATTCAGCGGGTGCAGGCACCCCGTGTGCCGGGGAGGGAGAAGAGGTGCCAGCGGTGCGGCGGAAGGGACTGGGCAGGCGGCAAGCCTGCAGGACCGGCTCTGCTCTCCCTCCAGAAGCCACGCTCCGTCAGCTAGCGCTGCCACGAAGCCAGGCACCTCTGGGCAAAGAGCCTCGCCCACGAGCCACGCCTGGCACACAAAGACCCGGCCTTGCTCCCCCACCCCAGGGAAATGCTTCGGCGACTTCTTTTTTTTGGAGGGTGGGGGACTCGGACTTGTAGCTCTTTCCTTGCTGATCCACAGCAAATTGGGTAGAGCCCCGCCTTCTCCCATTAGACACGCGAAACAGGGACAGTGGCCATTCGCAATAAATGCAGAAGCAGTCATGATGGTTCCCTGCAGGTAAGCTTTTAAAGTCGCATTCCACAGCTTTGGACCCCAGCTCCCAGGATTGCAGCCACTGGCCTTGTGGCTGGACACAATGAAACCTGCCACCTGAAATTTCTGGAAATATCTTTCAGCTTGGGAAGGCTGGTTAAACTCTTAGCAGATCAGGAAGGAGGCATCTTGTCCTCTCTTGGCCTGCACTCCAGGCAGTGCAGAAGCTTAAAGAGGAGCCACCGGCTCTTTTCCACACACCTGGCCAAGATCTGGCAACACATGCAGAAAGTTATTAGCATCATGGGCACTCTCACAAAATGGCTGCCATGGTGGTGGAAGTGATCACAAAATGGTGACCTTGGCCAGTCCCCAAGGCAAATCTCCCAGAAGGCAATTGGTGAGACTGGAAGAAAAGCATCTTGTCCATGGATCCATGGACGAGGCAGAGACAGGGTCTAGGTCCCAAAACTCTCCTGTTCTGGGGGACCGCGCCTACCAAAAAGCTCGGGAAGTAAAATGAGCGGCATCACCTGCCCCACACAGGAGAGCCCCCCACACTTTCGGGGGGGGTTCCTAAGCATTGCTTGCACGGGTGGCTTCAGAAGTGACTAACTGTGGCAACCCATGCTTCTCTCTCCAAGCAATATCAGTCTCACCAGAGTTTCTTTGCTTAATGATCTGTATTGCTACATATGTCTCTGAGCATACACGGAGTGAAGTGTTGGCCCTTTCCTACCATTCGTTTCCCCAAGCAGTCTTCGTGAGCCCTTCTCAGACTCAACCCTGGAGAATGGGCTTCCCTCCTGATTGGGCTTCCCTTTGGTGATGAAGGTGAGCCACGGGGGGGGGGGGGGGGCTTCTCCATTGATAAATGTCCCGTTTTGACATCTCCTCCCTCAGGCTGGGATTCCTCGATGCTCCTAGGGCAGCGGTGCCTGGATTCCCCACCTACCCCGGGACCGGTCTCCCCCGCTGCCACCTCGGGTTGGGTCTCAGGACCTTGAAGCCTCGCTGGAGGCTGAGCCGTTTCAAAACCAGAACCAGCACAGGGAGTGTGCTGGAAGTTTGGCAGGATGCCCACGGGCACCCCCCCCCCCCCAAATCAGCACTCAAGCATCATGTGATGAACTGCGGTTCCAGGAATGGAGTCCGGCTGAAACTCACCCAATGGGCAAAGATCCATTTTCCACTGATTTTAGGGAGCGGATCCAGCACACAACCCTGTTCAGCCGTCCTTGGAACGGTCATTGTGCCAGGCAGCCACCCCGAGAGGGGATTTTTCACCATTCCAGCTTTCAAAGAAGAATGGTGCCATAAAAATTGCACGTGAGTCCGAGATCAAAAGAATGTCAGACAGACCTGACGGGCCAGAGCCAAAATCCATCTGGCAGAGCCGGCAGGGGCCAGCCACTTATGCGGGAGTATCAGTGAAGCGCCTCAAGGATCCAGGTCAGCCTTCCTAATGTGGTGCCCTCCAGGTATTTTGAACCACAGTTCAAAGCATCCCTGCTGATCCACCACGCTGACGCTGGAGGAGGCTGACAGCCGGAACAATCAAGGGGCTCTGTGCCAGGTGCAAGCAAAAGCTGAGCAGAATCATATGGCAGGTTCTGCACCCAGACCTGCAGGGTAACAGGGCCAGGAGACCGGACACAGAGGGCAGGGGAGGAAAGCATCGCCATTTCTGGGAAGCCTCTTCCGAGACGCACTGAGCCAGTGGCAGGCTGGTTCTGCTTTGCATTCACCCCTCTTGTGCCAACAGTCCTCTGTGAATTCAATCTTCTTTTAAAGCGACTGGCCACACCACCTCTTGCTGGTGGTATTAAAAGTGTGTGCATGCTTGTGTGTGTGTGTGGACAAGAGTGCATGACATAGAGAGCTTCATTTAAGAGCGAGCCAACGTCTAAGCACCTTAAGACACTTCCTTTTTTCCAAAATAAAGTCCCAGTCATGAGAAGACCAAAACAAAAAATAAAAATGCACAGGCTGTCCATTCGAAAAGCAGGCCTCACAGTCCAGCTCATTCATGCAAATTTTATGCAAACAGCATGAGCAATGTGCAGATTAAACATGCAAATAAGCCACAGCCCTCTGGCTCCCGAAGCGTTTCCATGGCGGCCCTCCGTGAGGAACACGCCGGCCTCGCTGCCGCAGCGGGCACTCACGGGGCTTCAAAAGGGGCAACACTTGGATGGGACGGACGGCTCCCCGGCCCTGGGCAGCGCGGGTGCCAATGCTGGGCCCACGTCACACAGCAAGGACCGGGTTTCCTCCTCCAAGCATCGCCCGTTGTTGTTGAGGAGAGCTTGGAAATCTGTGAGGTTCTCCGCAGGCTTCTGCGTAATGGGCACAGAGAATTTTTGTGAGCTGCAGGAGCCTCGGCTGGAGGATGTGTGCCTCACACCAGGAGATGTCTCATTTGGGTAATGAAGATGATCCTTGACCACCGTGCTAGCCCAAAATCAACCTCTGCAGGTTGATTTGGGAAAGAAAGTTCCACATTGCACCTGGTTCCAAAAGATTAAAATCTGCACCTGGACCGAGGCACGGCAGCCGGCAGATGGGGAGGACAGACATGATGGAATATTCTCTGGGTCAGATGCAGAAAACTAGCCTGTCAAAGAACAGGTGAAGCCAAAATACTTTCCTGCCCTGTTAGTACAGGAAATCTTGAGCACTCCCACATATAAAAGCAAACGGTTTCCCCTGTTATCTAGCATAACAGGGAAAAGCGCCGTAGCTGAAAGCAGCCTCCTTCCTGATGTGCTAGCTTTCTATGCACAAGGAAAGCCTCACAAGGCGGAGCACCTGGTCCTGCAGCTGCCTGACGTGCAAGTCACGATCCTGGGGAGAGGACGGGGCCTGAGCCACCTCCCTGGGCAACGCTTCTCGCCGTGTGCGCCATCCCATAGAAGTGCTTCCTCCAACAGCAGGATAAGGATGGCCTGCAGGGAAGTATGATTTTTTGCGCCAGGCCAACTCTACCGTCTGGCACAGCGAAACAGCTGGTGGAGGTGCGGCAGCTTCCTCTGCCTCAGGTGTGCTGGAGGACGCTTACCTGCTGCCAGCTTTGAAGAACAGCTCAACCACCAGTCCAGGGAGCTTCAGAACACGCCCTGGGGCAGGGACGCTACCTTGTCCTTTGCCTCAGACAGCAAAACGTCTTGGCCTGGCTCTACTGGATATGATGGGATCAGAGGTCAAGAACCAACCAATATGCTCTGCGGGCTTTTCTACTGCGGGAATGGCTTCCGTGCCCTGCTTTTTAACAGATCTCCAGGGGGGCCAGGTTAACTGGCACGCTGCCCCAGCAGTAACACCTTCCCCCAGCCCACGCTCCGCTGCTCTGACAAGCACCACTGTCCGCAGCTCCCTGACCAAGCTGCAAAGCTTCATCTTCCCCCAGGAGCAGCTCAAGACACTCCCCTTGCAGTCAGTCCTGGCACCCTGACAGAACTGGTCCAGGCTCCACCTGAAACCCACCCGATAGTTTCCCTTCTCCTCCTCACGTCTCTGCCCATCCTCTTTGCAGCCCTTGCAAATATGCACACATTTAAATGAAGCAACGGGTGTCACGTAAGTGCCTGCTGCCTGGACAAAGTGGCAGAGGCCATTTTAACCGCATGCTTCCCCGTGAATGAATTCACAAACGCAAACACACCAAGGCCCAGATTCCTCCTCCTGTTCCAGGTATGGCTGGGAAAACTAGCTCCAGACATCCAGAATATAACACCAGCTGCATCTTCAGCACATACACACTGTCAGAAGAGTCAACATGCGCACGCTTCCTAGGCCGCTTCGGCAAAAACCATCGCTCAAATATAGGACTGCACTGTGAAGCAGATAATTCCATTAAACCATCAAGAAATATAAAGCCCAGAAATTCATAGTAAGGAAGGGAAGAATGTTCAGTATTTCTGAAATGAGAAAATAAGTTTTAAAACTGTTCGGCTGGTAAGTTCATTCTTTCCCGCCTGCAAGGGCCCTGGATATTGTATTTCAACTACGCTACCACTTCCATGAGTCTTAAAGCAATAAAAACGTGGGGCAGAGAGTCCCTGTGTGATGTTGGAGCAGCTGAAAGCTGAGCTTCAGTATATATCTTGTCCCTGTTGTTTTATTCTCAAACGACAGCAGGAAAATTGCTGCCCAAATACCAGTGGCAGAAAAGATTTGTGAAGCGGTCCAATTTATACCTATTCTATTGGTGAGAAAGCTGGCAACCGTTAAAGCATCTGCATCCGCGGGGACAGGCTGCTTGCACCCGACAGAGGAGTTGGATGCCAAGTTCTGCACTGGCCCACCACCCGTGTGGATGAGAGCTGGGTGTGCACCGCCACTTCTTTCCAGCAGGAGCCTGCAATGTGGGGTTAAGCAGCCCGGGGTTCACGTAAGACCAAAGCAGCACGGGGGAGACGCGCTTCACCACAGCCTTGCCTGGAGGACTTCCACTTCTCCATGCTTCCTCCACAAGACATAAACAGTCAACACGTCCGTTCCGATACAACGGTCCCCAAGAGAAGCCCTTGCAATGCGGAGTGAGAAGCACTGCCTTAAGCGACTGATATTTAAATGCTCGTAAAACCTGGCCACGGCTTCTCAGGGGATGCCTCCCCTGCAGAATCACAGGCAGGTGCAGGGGCTCAGCGATCCAGACATCCTGGAGCACCTTTCCTGCCAAGGGAACTCGACTTACGATGGGCCTTGGCCAAGCTGGGGCCCTCCAGATGTGTTGGGCTGTTTGGAGGCAGGGGGCGCACAGGAGAAAAGCTGAAGATGAAGCAGGGAGAGGACAGCGAACATAATGCTTTTCTCCTGCTACAGCTGGATGGCTGCTCACACCCAGCATCACTAACCTGTCGAACACACTGCTGCCAGGTACGGAGAGTAATTGCATGGGGCCCTTCCTCTGTCTAAGGACGCCCTGGAAAAAGGCAGCAAGGAGGGCCGTCTCAGTGGTGGTCCCCCCACAAAGATGGAACAGTCTTCCCACAGTAACCTGCCTGGCACCAGCACTGTAATCTTTTCAGCATCCGGTTAACACTCTCAGGCAAATACTGGGATATGTCTGTTATTTTAATCAGGTCTAGTTGTGATTTAAATTGTTTTAGAGATTCCAAATGTTTTGAATTTTGAAAACTGAAATTTTACACTGTGTTTTTTGTTTCTGTATCTTTATTGCAACCATTTCTATTATTGTATGCTTAGAAATTGCTGTGGGTGGTACAGAAAAGAAATTAATAACAACATTATCAACTTGCAAAAACCTGATTGCAGATTACACCGCTTTCTGGAAAAGCTCCCTGGAATTACTCATTAACTGAATTTAATTGTTACATCACCTTTTCCCAGTTATTTCTGTATGGCTTACAAATCATCCTACAGAACAACAGCATTTTCTCTGTGCTTTCATTTGCCCCTACAGGAATGGTTTTTTCCTCCATCTGTTGTTTCTATTTTGTTGTATTTTCTGCTGTTAAACTGCACCTTTGTTGTAGTAGTAGTTGTAGTTGTTCAGGATGCTGAATGTTAGTTGCTCTGGATTTTAAAAACTCCAGATAAGCAGATCAAAGGAACCTCCATTTTTTGAGGACTATTCCTTTGGATGCCAGCTTTTAGGAGTAATCCATAGTGGGGAAAGCGCTGCTCCCTGCCCGACTTTTACTAGGGCGTGAGCCCCATCGAGTTGAGTGAAATGGGCAAAGAACTGCGCCTTCAGTAGCAGCCTGATTCAGCCACATTTCACACAATTTGTTCGTTTCCAATCTGAAGCACATCGGAGGAGAAGCAAATCCTATGGAGATCAATGGGACATACTCTCAGATGAGCGTCTTACAAGTTTGTAGCCCGAGCGTGCAATCCCATCAATGCCGGGGCAGAAAAACGTCCCACAACAGCCCCCTCCCCCGCCCGGCCTAAACACGCCAACTTCAGCGGAAAGGGCTCGCTACCAGGGGCTTCCTTCGGGGGCTGCCTTAAGAGCGGGAGACGACCGGGTTTCCACCCTTGCGTTGTGGCGAGATTTTGTGCAAACATACAAAGGGGCCGGCCTTAAATTGCCTTTCGTACGGTCATTTGTGGGTGGGGTAGTGGGAGAAGGAGGCTCGAGAGCCAGACAAGCCCCCCGCCCGCCCGCCCGCAGCCCCCCAACGCCAGCCCAGGGCGCGCCTTCTCTCCGGGAGGCAGGAGCATCAGGACCTTTCTCCCAGCCAAGGGACCCTGCGAGGGGCTGCCCCTTCGCGGCCCGCTCCAAAGCCCTGCGAGGGGGCTGCCCCCCCCAGCCCTGAAGCCGGCCCAAGCGAGACACAACAACCACGCTCGCTGCCAGGTAGGGCAGCCGCAGGCGCACTTACTTGGGAGTAAGTAGCCGCGGGGGCTACTTTGGCGGAAACGCTCGCAGCCGTGGGCGGCAGCTTGCGGGGCCCGGCGCCGGCCAGGAGCGTCTCTCACCCACGAGTATTCACATGGTGCGAGGCGTCCTGAGGGCGCTTGCGCGGATCGGGGCCGTGGCGACTTCTGGGCCTGCTCCTCGGCTGGCCAGGCGGAGAGCGGGGGGAGAGAGGGCGCGCCGCCAGCAGGCACCGCTCGGGCAATCCGGATCCGATCCGGATCGGCCCCTTGCGGCGCGACCGACCCAGCGAAGCAGGTGACGGGACCGCCCCGGCGCCTCCCCGGCCGGGCAGTTCAGCGTGAAAAGGCGACGGGGAGGTCCCCGAAGCGCCAGGGGTTAACCCTCTCCTCTCCTGCGGCGGCGTCCGACAGGGCCGAGATCCGCACACCGCCCCCGCCTGGCCGCTCCGCTTTCCTGCGCGCAGCGGAGCGGGCCGGGCCGGCGCAGCCCGGCGCAGCCGGAGCCGGCGGGCTTGCTCGGGAGGAGGCGGCCCGCGGCGTTCAGAAGGGCGCGCTTGCAACCCGCAGCCAGGCGGTGCGTAGAGATGGCGGCTGCACAATGGGGGAACGGGCAAGAGCGCGGGCAGGTCCGCCGAGGGGCTTACTCGAAAGGAAACCAGGGAATGCCAGGGCCGCGGCGCGGACTTGCCAGCCCCCCGCAGCTCCTCTGGGAAGCAACCGCAGGTAACGCGTGGCGAGGGGGACCTCCAAGGATACCCTCCGAGCTGGCGCACTCGGAGGATTTTTTAACATTAGGGGAGGAACTAATGTAGGAGGACACGGCAGACACTAATAAAACGATGCAAACTGTGCAGGAAAAAATGGTTACTTTGCTATGCTAGCATCATTTTTTGGGGGGTGGGGGGAGTCTGAAATGCCCCGCCTCCACCATTTCCAGATCGGCTTCTGTGTCTTTCTCAGAGCTGCACCGTCACGACAGAAACCGGCAGGGGAAGGTTCGGGTGGCATAAAGACAGATGCACATTTCTGCTTTAAAATGGCTGCGGGGATCCAGCGACTGGTGGAAAGCCTCGCTGCCGGAGCGGACGCTGCGGGGCGCAAGCTGAGCGCAGCTGGGTTTCGGGTGCAGTCAGATTCCTCGGAGGGGCCCGGAGGTGCTCCCAGCACCGGTCCGCAGACACCCCGCGGCCAGCCCTACTTAACATTGCCTCCATGGGCCGGTTTTCTCGCTGCAGTCTCGGGGCGAGAACGACCTCGCTCCGCCTCGGAGGGGGTGCTTCGCTCAGGGTGCAGTGCCCAGCCAGGTCAGGCGGAAGAAAGGCCCGCACCCGCCCGCTGGCGGGGGGCACGGGGAGCTGCGGCGCCTTTTCCTGCCTCAGCTTGCGCGGCACCGCACCCCGAGTGGCGCTCGCTGATCCTCGCAGGCACGCTGGGGCCGGAGCCCCGGTTCGGCGCTAGGCTCTCTGCCCAGCGCCTTGCTGTCCATCAGCACCTGCTCAAAAGGTTCCCGGGCCCTACGAGACTCCGTTGCATACGACGCCCTGCTTCACCCGCTGCTGCCCTCCTCTGTGCATGCTTTGTGTTTTTGTTTTTTTGCAAATAGGGGCGTACTTAGGAGACACAATTCTAGACAGATACGCGGCCCGAGGATTTTAAAACATGGAAATTAGGACGTGCAAATATGTACCTCCCTCCGCCCCTGATCTTTTGACTGTCTAGGACCACCATGCGGATCTTGACATTTTGCATATTTTTAGCTCTCCTAAATTCTTTTAATTCCTGCTTTAGACGGCGCGACTGTTGGGGTTTAATTTAGAAGGGCGCCTACTGATGATGAGGCTGCAAGAGCAGGGAGGGGAGAAAAAGCATCCCGGTGCCCTTTGGAGTGTAACAGCACGTTGCCCAGCCACAGCCTATCAATGAAAACCCGGTTGGCACTTCCGGTTCCCTGATGATCAGACGTGTGTGCGGGGTGGAGGCGACTACTGCAAAGAAATAATAGCACAGGACACCCTTCGACTCCATCCTGCCCCGATAGGCAACCCGAAGTGATGCATGCAGATGTTTTCCCCTTCCGTTGCCCACGGAAAGAACTGCAAGGTTCCTCCTGGCTACGTGTGAAATGGAATAATCCGCTTCCTGGATTTCGGTCTTGCTCAGATAATGACGCCAGTTCACGGTGCAAGGGGCAGATCGTGTAGACACGCATCCCCCACCCCTTACTTAACCGTTCATTCCTGAAGCCGGGTGCTTTTCTGCCAACAACCCCGCTTTGATCCGGATTTGTTCTGGCGTCCGGCGGCGACGCAAGGATGGGCGCCGAGAGCTGCGAAGGCGCTTCCCTTCTCGGCGCCTTTCCGGGCAGCGGCTGCTGCTCTGCCGTGAGCGGGGCTCCGCGACGGAGCAAGACGCGCCCGTTCTCCCCGGCGGGTGTCTGCAGGCAGCCAGCCAGCTGGACGCGCCTTTCTGCAGGGTGGGCAGCCCTGCCAAACCCGTCGTCCCCCTGTCTGTGCTGCGGCGCTTCGAGTGGAGCTGGCAGCGTGTGACCCGCCACGGCGCCTGCACCGGCGGCGGGCTCTGCAGGAGGTGCGGCCTGAAAAGACGCGCGAGAGCGGAGGAGTCGGTGTTTCGGCAGCGATGGAGGCGCAAGTCCGCTCCGCTGCGGAGGCAGCTCGAGGCCAGCCGGCTCCGCCTCGGATCGCGCGCAGTTTGCTCTGCGGAAGCAGCCGGGAATAAGAGAACTGCAGCTAGGTTTGGCTGCTGAACGGAGGGCGGGGGCTGCGCCCCTTCCCCACCCCCACGTCTCTTTCCCTTAGTTTCTTCCCTCTGAAATTGTGAGCTCCGCGGGGCAGAGGCCTGCCTTCTTGCTGGGGTGCCTACCAGGAACTCGGAAAGTTGCATTTAATGTGCGCTTCCAGAAAAGATCCAGGGCTTAGGCCTGCAAGTACCATAAAAAAAAGAAAAAGAAAAATGCATATGCTAATTTACAAATGCTCTGAAGTCTCTTATGTTTTTAAGCCCCTTGACTCCTGCCGACTGACTTATAAAAAGGGCTCTGTGGTGAGGAGGAAATTTGCCCTCAGGAAAAAACCTCGGGGAGAGGAGGGGCAGCAGGAGAAGCACATGCCACGAAAAGTCCAGGGGCTCAGCTGCACAGGAGACCTGTGCACTTTGCATGCTTCAATTTCAGCAAGCGCCAGTGGACAGCCCCATGGTAAAACACTAGCCTCCCAAAAGAACCGGTGCTTCAGCTGCGTGGGCCTCCCCTTCAGGCCCCCTCTTGGAGCCCCCACTGGCTTCCCAAGAGAAAAGCCAGAAACAGCAGTGAGGAGCTGGGGCGGTGGAAGAGAATGCCTTCTGTGTACCCACGAAAGTCTTGGATGGAGCCAGAAAAGCAGCCCGAGCCAGATGTCCACACTGCACTCTCCAGATGTTTTAGACCAGAACTCCCATCATTCCTGCCAATTGGCTGTGCCGATGGGGACCAATGGGAGTAGTAGTCCAAAACATCTGCAAAGCATGGGGGTCAGGGAGGCTGGGTAAATAGATTGCCCCAGCACAAACCTTTAATATGCTCCCTTTTAATATATGCAACGAAAGCATAATCTTGTGCATGTTTAGACAGAAAAAAGTCCTAAAGTCTGCCTAAACATGCATAGGATTGCGATCTAAACTGATGCAGCCATCCTGGATTTCCTTTAATTTATGAAGACATGAATTATCTTGCCATCCTGCCCTGGCCTGAAGTATGCCTTATACATTATTTACATTGAGCTCAGAAGCCAAGTTCCTGTCCCCAAAGGTGGGGAAGATCACCACTTTATCAAAAGCTTCTGTGCAATCCATGCAGAGGAAAAATCCTTTCCTGTGGCCACCCTAAAATAGGGCACATGTAAGCGTGACACTCTGGTTCACTCGTTGATTTGCATAAGACCAACCTGGATGCAAAAGGCCGATCTGTGGCTGCAATGCTCATCTCTAAGGCAGCTATGGGGTCACCTACTTGGGGAGCAAAAAAGCTGCTCTCCAGCCTCACTCCTCCGCTGGAGCTGCTCCTACCAGAGGAAGAGGAGAAAGACAGACTCGGCAGTCCAGAGTTTTTGCCTCTGCACTTTGCAGCAGCTGTCCTATGTCGAACCCTTCAGCAAGTGCCCAGAATCTTACCAAATTCCTTGCCTGGACTATCAGTCATTCAGCGAGGACCTTTTCACTCCGCTTGCGCTTGTTCATCAGTAAAGAGTGCATGAGTGGCCAGCTCTGCTTGCCAGGAATTATCTATGATTGACCTGTAACTTTGCGACGGGACACCCCCTATCATAACACCCTGCCCTGTGCAATCTTTCTTGGTGTCATGAGCCTTAAAAGTTAGATCAGGACTGACTTGATAGTTCTTTGTTTATCAGTGGCTTGCTGTGACAGGAGGCAAGGAAAACTGCATCCCAGATTTCCAGAGTTCTATTATTATTATAGTATCCGAAAATAAAAGGGGGGCGTTGGTTGCCAGAAGTGAAGTACTTTGGGTTCTCCTGGTCTCCCACGTAAGAAGCGAAAACCCATCAATGCCCCCCTCCCCAGTGAAGAAGCATTTCTTTTGAGCCTGTTAGGCAGCCCCATGATGGCTTTATCCCGGCTCACTGGCTGCACAGGCTGAGACTCTTCCAGGCACTTCTGTGTGACCTGCCCTGCAACGGGCAGAGTGATGCGGTGCCTCCTTCCTGGGAGTTCTCCCTGTGTATGTTTCATGCCATTAGCCAGCCGGGGTGAGGAAGCTCACGGGGGACTGACATAACACCTGGGAGGATCAATTCCATGCCAGAGAAGAGGCAGAGCACATGACACTGGATGCTTCTCTCGGCAGCATCTCTGCATCATCTCCAACTTCCACTTCAACACAAAACTTGCATTTTCTTTTACAAATATAAGTACTTACGAAATCTGTTTTTAAACAGAAAAATAAGTTTATTCTGAGAAACCCATCACCTCTTTTTAGGCGACTAAGTCGTGGATACTTGGTTTGGAGGTCCTCTGCAATGCAACCAATGCACGTTGAAACAGAGCCTGCGGCCCCTGCTATTCCTCACAGCTTCCGTTCTGTCTAAACATGCACAGGATCGCACCCTTCACTAGTGAAAAAATTGAAATGGAAAATTATTTCCCCTCCAAGAGCCCCTTCAATGTGGCTTACAGAATGCAAAAGGTTTTTCAAGAATGACAGCTAAAAGCAGCAGCAAAGACAAAAACTACAAAGAACCAAAGGTAGCGCTGAGAACA